CAGACCATATTTGGTTGGGCTGTACTTTACTGCCCAAACAGTGGCAGAGAGTCAGTTGGCAATATGGTTGGCAACAACTCGTCTGCTGTCACACATCTTCTTATAAAATGGTCTCAAAGAGAAAACACTGAAAAAGAAAGAATGAATCTTTGATTTTGATAAGTTATTTGAGCCATAGTCATGATGGGTATGGGGAGGTCAAAATGGCTAATTTTGTACATGAAAAATGATTTTGTTAATATTCACAAAAATGATGTTAGTTACTCATTTCCACTGTACATTATTTAAACTAAAAATAGAAGGTAGCTTAAGTTTACTTCTTTGCCAAAGGAGTTCATTGCTTATCAAAAAAACATATTGACTTCAATATACTTTGAACTTCTCTAACACATTTTAGCACATGACAGTTTTATCCAGTATTTCAAAGGATGTAATATATGACTTTATTTTATTTTTTTATGTAATTTTTGGCACTATAACATATGGCACTGCTTAAATTATTTATATAATATGTTGGTTAAAATCCCTTTCCTTTCTTTTCTTTGCAAGCCTCCCTGAAATCACAGAGATAGTCTGAGGAAGCTCTGCGAAAACGTGTGCTGTCCTCACTGGAAGTATGGTTGAATAGATATGCAGTGTGCATGTAGTGTTTAGCATCTTTTAAAAGACAGAAGCGCTTAGAAATATTTAATAACTTTATGTAAAATGCTTTTTATTGGGATCTCATTACAGATTTAATTAACCTCAACTGACTCAAAATTTGTAGTGTCTCTGCAATGAGAATAAGGGCTCTCATTAATTTATTTAGCCATTCATTCACTCCATAAGTACTTCTTTTCAACCGATGTTCAAAGCACATCTTGAGCCATAATAGAGGCAAAAAGTTTAAATGGTTGTCTGCTGAAGTTCAAACCAAGGGCCAGAAAGTAAGAAATGTGACTTAAATCATGGTTGTAAATCAGGCAGATGTTTCTTAAACTGCTGATCTACAGAGTGCTTCTTTCGTTCCAAAAAAAAAGAGAGACAAAGAAAGAGCATGAAAGAAGGAATTGGTTCTTACAAGGTAATAAAATGGACAGTGAGTGTATATAATTTGTGTGATAAATGTTCATGTTTTATCATTGTTAATATCAGTACACATGATAAAAGGTACTATTTGCACATGGCAACGCTCCAAGACATGATTTGTAATATATTGGTTATTTAATGATAAACTGATTTAATAACAAAGCCAGTTATTCAGTCCCTTCACTATATTATCACAGTTAGAACATTTTAGAGTTCATTATTTTAAAGCATGGTTTTAATTTTTGTTTTAATTCCAGATACATGAATGAATCAAAAACTGAGCAAAAACTGGTTAAAGATGGAAACTACAAATTCATTCTTCTAACATGAGCCCCTTATGGGCCAAAGGAAGCCACTGATAAGCGGTACAGTTAGAGATTAGTGAGGATCAAAGTGGACATTAAATAGGATGAGAAACACACTGATGCACTAATTATCAAGTCTGTGAAATATGATGAATTGCTTTGGATTTCAGAAACAACTTTACTGTGGCGTTAGTAAAATGTTTTCCATTGGCTCTACACGCTAACCCAATTCAAAACGATATGTGACTGCAAAGGAGTAAATATGGATGTGGACAATTACACAAGTGATCAACTAGTGAAATATTCACAGGCCTGCAGTCTTGCCTTTCTGTCCTATCTCTCGCACACCTTACAACATTATTTTATTGCTGCTGAGCCCTGCAGGAAATCACTTGTGATGTCTTGTACCCTCCAAAAACATCATGAATAATGAATGGAAGATCTCAAAATAAATAACACACATTATTAATGTATTCAGAGCCTCATTTAGAGGGGGCAGCTGTAGGTGCCACAGCACCCCTTTCTCACTAAATATGTGAGCATGTAGAATCACAAAGAACACTAAACAATGGGAAGGGTATTGTGCACTTCATCAAATCTGCAATGCAACTGTAAAACAACAAAACCAAATAATGGAGAGATGGGAATTTTAGTGCGAGGAAAAGTAGGGCGAACGTTGAGTGAAGAGTGTGTTGGAGTGGTCAAAAAACTCCTGGGCTTTCAATGGGCAGATGGCACACTCACCATTTTAGGTCACACAAACACAATTTTCACCCACCATTTATTCTTTGTCTGACCACAGAGGACAGATTTATAGTGCATGATCCTGTAAATATCAGCAAAAACGACAAGAATCTCACTGAAGAGTGTTGGGTTTTTTGGGGTTCTGAGTTGTACCCA